GTAAGTTTTCATTTCTTAAGTAGACAGCAGAAGGAGTCCTCACAGCGTCTCTCAGCTCTCTCTTTTACTGCTCTTTGCCCACTCCTGTCCCAGAGCAGGAAGCCTGGTCCTGCTTCAGGGCCTTTGCACTGCAAGTTCCTTTTGCATGATCCTTCTCCCTCTCATCTCACATGGCAGCTCCATTGCACTGTTTGGCATAGTAGCAGCACTCACTGCCAGGCACAACCCTGTTACCTTGTTCACCTTCGGTGAGGCCCCTACCAACATCTGACATTACCACTGGTTCCATGTTACTATCTGTCTCAGCTAGAACATGAGCTCCAAGAGGGAGAGGACTTTGATTTCTAATGTCTCTGTTGCTTGCTGGGCACACAGCAGATGCTCAATAAATAGCTATTGAATAAAAAATGTGACATAATTAAATGAATTAAAAGTGTGACATAAAGAAAAAATCCAATCAGAAACTTTGTGCGGTCATGAAGCACTATTTAGAAATTTTCAAACCGACAGACACCTATTTATTTTAGTGTTAACTTAGCATACACACGGAGGAGAAGGGAACCACTGTGTACCTGCAGATTACCTGCATGAGCCTCCTGGGCACAGGCACACACAGGCGCCCAACTTGGATGGTCCTGAGCATGCTGAACCTGCATCTCGCTCTCTGACCAGGGAGAATAACACCTTCTCATGCACTGGTTGTGGGATTAAAGGAGGTAATCCATTAAAGTCTTGGCCCAGCACATGGCAAGCAGGGAACAATGGAGAGCCAGAGAGCCGTGGGTGAGGGATAATAACCCACAGCTTTTGAAAAGCAGTTAGTTCTCAACTCTGGTTGGGGGATGAAACCCACCAACCCCCTCAACCCCCTGGGGGAAATTTACAAAATCCTGATGTCTGCCCCCACCTGCCAAGATCCTCAGTTAATTAGTCTGGGGTGCAGGCATGGGAGCTTCTAAAGTGCCGCCAGGGTTGAAAACCCTTGTCTCAAAGATCCTCCAAATTACGTGCTTGGTCAGGAGGGCCTGCCAGAATTCGACCCTGGGATTACAGCCACTTCTCTTTGAGAGATCCCATGTCTGGAGGAGATTAAAAGTCCTTGGAGACATGCAGGGTGAGGGGCATGCGCCAGTGGTCCCAGCTACTTGGGGGGCTGAGAAAGGAGGACCACTTGATCCAGGGGTTCAAGACCGGTCTGAACAGGTTGGGGATGGAGCTCTGCCTACCATGCACATTGTCCTGAGAGTGGCCCCTGGGGGAGGGAGAAACCTGAACAACATAGTGTCCCTTGAGAAGGAGGGCGGGGTGGGGGAGGGAGAGGAGGGGGACACTGATACCTCAGGTTCCACACTCAGCGACAGATAACAGGGACAGCCTTCCCTGGGAGCATTCCCTCCCCTCCCCTCCCCTCCCCGACTCTTCACCCTTTCTCATACCTATATTTTTACATCATACTTTGAAGAAGAGTTTAAGAGCCAAGCATGTTCATCCACAGGGAGGTCAAGGTTATTTAGAATAGTAAGAAACAGTTAGTGTCCAGTAGTGGAACTCTTACCTTTGGGGCTGGCAGGCTGTAAATGCCAGTCAATTAACATTTAACTGGATTGGAACAAGGTTCAAAATTCACAAAGGTCATAATTTGTTGAGTCTAGAAGTAGCTCTAGTCAGGATGTTGGCAGTGGATCACAGTGGACTTAATGGTCTCCCTGCAGGGGAGGTGCCCTTTTATCTTGCACACCCTGGCGTCTCGGGAGCTCTTACTGCGTTGGCGTTTCCCTCCCATTCTCCAGGACCCCGTTAGCTCCTGGCTGCATCGTAATGATGCTCCCAAGGACAACTAGTCATTGAGTTGGTTCAACAAATAGTAAAAATTTTATATTTAGATAGCAAAGTATTGTGGTTCTGAAATAGAATAAGCCTATCCTAGGTGTCTATAAATTATCAGTGTTGGAGTCTGTGAAATACCAAGAGGTGTCCAAGTAGTCTCCCACTTCTGTCGTGATGCTTAGTAAGGATGAAAAGTCATGCCTTTTTTTGCATGTGGTTTCACATGTGGTTACTATTAAAATGCCAGTTCTGGCTTTGATGATCATTGGATTGGGGCGAACACACACCACAGTATTTGTTAGGTTAGTTTTATGGTATGAGCTGGAACTAATGAGTAATTATTTTTATCTACCAAGAAATGGACCCAAGGGCTTTTGGTGGGTGTTTGATCTCTGCACCAAAGGAGAAATCAACATGATTTCATTCTTCTCTCCTTAAGGAGACATCAAGTTGGCGGCAGCATGGGAGGGTCTCATGGACAAATTGGGTGGATATTGGCAAATAAATCACACTGGGCCTCAATTCTGTCTTCAAGCTATGTGAAAAAGAATAAGCTCTTCTATATTAAAAGACCTGAGTTAAAATTTAGTGTAGATTTTTACATGAATTTGAATCGTGATTCTGAAGAGATAAGACACAGCAAATATACAAGTGTCACTTCACAGACCTAATTTTTTAAAAAAATCACCATCCTACTCTGCATTCAGTTCTATGTGGAGGTTAGTTTTAGGTGGCAGGTGCCAAATTAATTGAGGTCACCAGAAAGTCATCCTTGAAAAACTGGCGATGAGTACCAAAGCTTCCGGGCATGTGTCCTATCACTGCTCCTCAAAGGGTATGAACAACCAGGGTTTTGTCAATTGTTGCTTCATATTTAAACCCAGGAGTAATGCTTCAGTTTACTGGGCACACTAGGGAAATGAAGTCTTCCAATTTGGGGACTGTTTTGCATATTATATAATGAAGGCTTACTGCTTTCATGCCCAGATATTTTCCTTTAGCCTTTTGTGTGATAGCACTGTAAAACTCTCAGGCCTCCATTAGCAGGGTCAGCTGAATGGTCACTGCTGCTGCTTTAGCCAGGGCATCGGTAGCAATGCCTTACTTGGGGGCCCGCTGGGTGCTGGCTTCTGTCTTCACTTGCTTTTCCAGTGGTATCTGGTTCTAGCTGCATCTTCTCTCTTTCCTTGATAACCATCTGTTGCTATCATTCGTCACTCCTCTCTAGTCCCTTGTTCACCCAAGTGCCCTCCACCCTGCCCATGTCCCTTATTTTAACCCCTATAGGCTGCACAGGGCTTCAAAGGGCAAGAATTAAATAAAAACCAGACCTGGGTTAAGGCCAGGGGCCTTGTCCATGGAAAGTAGCAAGCTTTTGCGAAAAGTGGCTCAGATACTGACTTCTGGGGGTTGGGGTAGACTTAGGCTCTGTTCCAGCTGAAGACTGTGAGAGAGCAGAAGTCTCAACCTCACCCTCTCGTAGGATGCTCAGCACTCAATGTCTGCACTACACAGGGATGCATTTTGCAGGCCCCAGAGGCAGCCTGCTGCCCAGACCTTGAATTCCATTTACTCCTGGGTGATCCTGTGATGCTCCCAACCACTTATGTATAATAAGAAAATAACAGGGCCTTATGTGCAGGGCTGTCATTCACAKTAGTGCCTGGTACCTGGAAGGTGCCCAATTAGTGCTTATATGTACCACAGAATAAAATAAATCTCTCTTAAGGCACAACCCTCATTCAAATACAAAATTTGCAGATCTGCTTTTGCCAATTTGCATGAAGAACAAAGCCACTAAATCCACATTTCTCACTTATTTGTTTTTGGAAAACAAGATTAACAAGAAAACAAGCAGGCCAGACACCATGGGAGGAGGGGCTGAGACCTCAACTTGAATCGCACAGTTCCTGCTCTCAAGAGCAGCACAGGCAAGCCCACCACACACCATTGTGTTACTCATTGTGGTGAGAAGTTCAGCCTCCCTGAAAGGCTCCTGTTTCATTCTGAGACGACCACAGCTTGATTAAAGTTTATCTATTAATTAAGAATGACCCTGACCCATAAAAGAACTTGATAGCTATTCCTAAACAAATTTGCTTATTCATTTTTATTTTAGCTAACATGTCAGTGTGGAGGATGTTAGTCCTTTAAAAGTTTAAATATATATATTTTAATTAGAAAAGAATAATATGTCCTGGGGATTGATGGGCTCGGGCTCAGTGGTAGTGCATTTGCCTAGTGTACCTGAGGCCCAGGGTCCAATCCCTAGCACAGAAAGAAAAGGAGGGACAATCTTTAAAGTGTCTTAGGCTAGAGACACAAAAGCAGAAAAGGGGAAGGAATGGGGACAACTCATGACTTAATGCTGTAATGCTCGTTTGGCTGCCACTGCTGGGGGAGGAGAAGGAATGGAGGTGGCTGTAGCCCAGTGGGTCCCTCCCATGCTGACATCTCATGGGTGGGAGAGGGTGGGTCTGCGGGAATGCTGACAGCAGCCCAGTCCTAAGCCTTCCCAATTTAGAACCTGCTGTCCCCTTCCAAAGCAAAGGAGAAAAACACTCCTTGAAGACTTGAGAGGTTTCGTTAGGATGCCTTTCCCTGCAGTTTGCCATGGCATGGAGAGTCGCTCTGCTCTGCAGTGCAGATTTTAAAAGTCTATGATGGGCTTTCCCTCTCCCCAAACCCTTGCCCTTTTCCTTTCCAACCTGGGCCCTGCAGAAGGATTCCTGCAAAGAAGGGAGGCCGAGAAGATGGGTCATTCTGCCACCAACAAGGTGTTGAACCAAGAATTCACCAGCAACTTTCACAGCGTGTCCATGATGTGGCCTTCAAGAAGCAAGCCTCTGAACACTCAGAGGCTGGGAAATTCCCTTGGAGGAGACGGAGATTCCAGATGGTTGCACTGGTATTGGGCTCAACAGAGCTGCTTGGCCCAGAGGAACCAGGCCGTCCCGTACTGTACCTGTGTGCAGTTGTCCAGAGGACAGTGAGGACAGAGCAGGGCCAACAAGCCCTGCCCTTGGTTACTCATGTGCCCATTACTGCTCTCAAAATGCTGTGATGGTTAAAGTTATCAAGCCACACACACAACAGTTCATGACAGACACATTCTCAACTGAGCCATGCTAGCTGTTGCTGCAGCCCCGGTGGCTTTACAGTGGATCATGTACCTGAAAGGGGTTCTCCAGTGCTGTCCGGAAGGCCATTTTCTTCTCCCTAAAAACCAAAAAGTGACTGTCATTAAAATCACGAGCACATGTGAACGGCGCTATCGTCAACTTTCTTCTTCAGTTGAATTTCTACCAAGACTTGTGAATGGGATGAATGTTTAGAAGGGCACTTCAATGGGATGTAGGGGTGTGGAGAGCTGAGCTGTGCGGCTCTCTCTGAAATCTAACCTTCTCAAGGGAGCAGCTTTTGTTTATTTGCTCCCTGGCTGAGTCCCAGTGCCCAGAACAGATCTGCTGGAGGAGAGCTGTGTAACTGTTCATTAGATGCATTAAGGTCCTGTTTAAAACAAATGATGATGCGCATAATGATGTGCTACCTTTTAATTTTTACTTCATATTATGGCTTATTTCTCTTTCTGCTTTGTGATGGGCTGGGTTTTGCCTAGATTACAATTATTTTATCTATTATATCGATTTTTAAAGGTACCTATTGCAAAGCAGTTGAAATGAACTGGGAAAAAGCAGTGTCTAGGTCCTGGGAGGGGTGACGGCACTTTTGCCCGTCCAACTGGGGTTCCTGCTTACAACCAAGGCCATGCCATGTGCACCCGGCAGGAGGGACCTGCTGGGATCTTCCTGGAGTGGCGTGTGTCTTCCAAGGCGAGGCCCATCCCAGCACACCTCCTTTTCTGTGACTGCACCTTCATGTACCTGAAGCCTCCCTGGCAGCCAGTGTGGCCCCATCCATGCTACACAGAGGAAGCAGTGGAGTGGCCTCCACAGCTGTCTTCTACAGCTTCAGCTGCTCACCCCCCACCTGGCCTCCACCCATCCTGTGGTCAGGGCTGCTGGATTGGCACAGCCTGATGGGGCCTCTAATCCTCAGGTCTCTGAGAACTTTGCTCTTAAGGAAGTGCTAACTCCACCGTGTCATGAACTCTTTCTTTTCATCTCTGCCTCCCACCAAGGCCCCCCCCCCTCCTGCTTGCTCCGCAGTGTGGTCACATTTGTCTAATCCCCTCCCCCCCCAGCTAGAATTACTAGCTGAGAATTTCCCCCTGGGAGTCTACACAGTTCTCACTCTGGTGTGAGTCCTCTTCCTGGCACTCACTGTCACAGTGGAAACAACAACAAAAGCATGAGGTTGTACTTTGTTCTCACATTTCCTTCACTCAGGGAGGTATGTGTGTGTGCGAGAGAAATAGAGAGAGGGGAAGCAGCACAGGAGTCCTTTGCAGGAACAGAAGTGTCTCTTTGAACAATTGTGTACATTCACAACCTCAGGAGGCCCCGACGCCAGGGCTTGTTCCCGGGGACCTGGCTCTCCTGTGTGCGCTCCAGCAGGCCGGGCAGGTCTGCTCACGCTCTCTTCAGCACTGGCAGCTCTGCCTCTTGCCCTGGAACCTGGGCTGTGGGAACGGGAACTTCAGGTCACGTGCAGACACACAGATGTTAGAACTTGACAGTTTAAATGGTATGAGGTCCCTGCTAAAACGCATGTTTTCCAGAAGTGAAAGCTACATTACAAAGCATGTTTGCCTTGATTTTTCGTAATCCAGAGAGAACTTTTCTGAAGTCAATGTTTGGCCACCACCATCCCTGTGATGTAAACAAGGAACATGGCCCAGGAGGGCCCTGAAGGGTGATGAGGACAGGATTTAGATCGACGTCTGGACCCTGTTCTTGGCTCTGATTATTTGGTTGTGCCACTTCACAGGTTAATTGTCAAGAGTGATAGCTGGATCTTGGCCAAAACCACAGCAGTGCCTCATTCTCTACCCCGTGTTAATCACGAGCACTGCTGTCAATGTTCACGTGAACCCACGTCAGTCACCGAGCATGAGATGTTCAAATCCCATGTTGGAACCGTACTCCAAAGTAAGGACCTGGGCCCTGCCCTGAAGGGAGGCACGGGCGCCACCAGAGGGAAGAGGTTTCTGCCAGCTGAAGAATCAGAGGCTGTCTCTGGGGCACAGAGGTGTCTGAGATGGGGCCTGGAGGTGGGCACGCCAGAGGCCGGCGGGAGCCGGAGAGGCCATGGAAAACATGGGCACCTCTGGGGCGCAGTGTGTCAAGCAAGGGCAAGGAGGGGGAAAGAGGGGACAGGAAGTGGACTGCAGCCCTTCCAGGGGCTGGACTTCATTTCACAGACACAGGGAGTCACGGAAGCTCTCCTCAGAGGCAGGGTGTCCTCAGAGCTGTCTAGGATTAGTGCAGGAAATGCCCACCTGGCTGCAGGACTCAGGGGGGTAGGGACAGGCCAGGGGAGGGGAGGGGAAGCACAGATGAGGCTTGGATGGATGCCCTCACCTGGGAGGGCTGCGGATAAAGCAAGAGCTGCCACAGAGACAGTCACTGAGGGCAGGGCCAAGGAGGTGGAAAGAGGAACAGGATTTGGAGAGGTCGTGGACAACGCAGGAAGTCAGGCTCCCTTTTGTCTGAGATGCTGGTGGGGTTTCTGGGAGAAGCCCCCAGACAGAAGATGGAAATAAGGTGTTGAGGTAGTCGTGGGAGAAAAGACTGGAAGTGGGTGGGCATGAGCCGAGGGCACTGAAAAGCCTACGTTTGGGTGGCAGAGGCAGAAATGAGGAGCAAGAGGAGAAAGGTCAGAGAAGGGACAAGAAGCAGAAGGTGCTAGCACCCAGTGCAGGAAGGCACCAGGCTCTGAAGGTCAGGAGCAGACAAGACTTGGAGGCGGGGAGTGGTGCCCAGTGCCCTAGAGAGCAGTACCAGCAGAGGGCAGAGGGAAGGCAGCTCCCCAGAGGATCAGGAAGGCTAGGAGAGCTGCCCACAGCCACCCAGCCCTTTAGCCTGCCCAGGCCTCGGTTTAGATGGCACTTCCTCAGGTGCCTTCTCCCACCCCCAGTCTGGGTTTGTGCCCTGGGTGTCCCCCAAGCACAGCAAGTACCTCATGCTTACTGTGCTTTGGGGATAGCACAGGTCTGAGCCAGTTAACACCCTGTATCTGTGGAGGGAGGGAGGGCCAAGGTCACCGGCAGATGCTGTTGGCACTGTCCAGGCCAGGGCACAGGCTGCAGTTCAGCATGGTGCTCTCTCTGCCCCTCCCATCCTGTCACCCTGCCCCAGGGCCTCATCTCCACAAGTTTCCTATGGTCCCATTGTATTCCTGTCCACAGACCTGCTGGCTAGTTCTGCCTGCCAGTGAGGGCCACTGGCTAATCCTCAGCTCTCCCAGGCTTGCTCTGAATGGATCTGAAGGCTGAGACAGGAGGATCTCAGGTTCAAGGCCAGCCTCAGTAACTGAGCGAGGTCCTAAGCTACTAAGTTATCTAAAGGGAAGGCAGGGTGCTCTGCAGGGCCACATGGCCTGGTGAGATGCTCAAACACTGTCCAGGAAGTCAGAGGGACTCTGTGAGTGGCATTTACACATGGGAAAGAAGAGGGGAGAGCTGCACTTGCAAATTACAGAAATCGGTGATTTTTTTAAAATATTTTTTTTAATATTTATTTCTTTTTAGTTATTGGCAGACACAACATCTTTGTTTGTATGTGGTGCTGAGGATCGAACCCGGGCCGCACGCATGCCAGGCGAGCGCGCTACCGCTTGAGCCACATCCCCAGCCCCAAATCTGTGATTTTAAATGTGTATAAATTAATTTAAACCAAATAGGCATTGGCATGGATCGAATATGGTTTGTCCCCAAGGATTCATGTGCTAGAAGCTTGGGTCCCCAGTGTGGCAATGTTGAGAGGTAGTGGGACCAGTGGAAGTCGTTAGGGTACGAGGACCCTGCTCAGAGGGATTAATTCGTTCTCTGAGACCCTGGTTACAGTCTCTTGAGGGGGTTGTTATGAAAGAGCCCTCCAGCTCTCTGGCTTCCTGTCTTGCCATGTGATCTTCCCTCTCTCATGTATTCTGCCAGGATACTATGAGGTCCTTCTAGTTTCTTGGAACAAGGGAATCATCCAACCTTGGACTTTCATCCTTCAAAACTGTTGGCAACATATACCTCTTTTCTTTATAAAGTATCCAGTCTCAGGTATTTATTATAGCAATTGGAAACAGACTAATATTCATACGCATTTGGAAAGTTTGTCTACCACCCTGAAACATGTTAACTTTTCTCAACTCTAGCTGGGAAGAGATTCTCATTTAATTGGTGTATTGTGGGACCCAGGTAAGAGTTATTTTTTGAAAATCATAATAAGTTTTAGTGTACTGCAGGGGTGAACACCAATATTTTATTTATTCAAATAGGCTAAGAAAAACCCCATTTTACAAAACCTTCTCATTGTGGATATAACAGAATTATTTTAGTACTGGGCAAAATGTGTTAACTACTGCCAAGAATTCTTTCAACAGAGAGAAAATTGGCAAGGTTTCAGGAATTTTGTCCTCTGTTTGGTTTATAAGCTGATAGGTCCCGTTTTTACTCAGGGAGCTGAGAACTCTGTGTGCTGTAGAACAGCTGCCTGTAAAGATTTACACTAAGATTTCATACCAGACTCTAAGCAGAGAAAGTCTGGGGCCCAGAGCATGGCCTGGGAAAGGCTCTCAACTCGGAGCTCAGCATGTAGCCCACCTGGGGATGGAATGACATGATTGGGTACTGACATTAATAGGGAAGTCCTGTTAAATAAGATTCACAGGAAGCCATCGATTTGAACTGCACTCCTGCACTAGGCCCTAACCAACCAACCCAAAATGGAGTCACTCATGCTAGGAACCCACATCACCAAAGTAAAACCTAAGCTGCTTACTCCTAAGACCCGACTTCCTCCAGAACCAGGAGAGAGATCTCCAAACAGGCCAGTTAGAAAAAAAAAAAAAAAAAAAAGATTTGCAAGAACTGATCCAAAGGGGCCCAGTCCACCTGAGCTGGCAGATAAGGGAGTCCCTTCTGCTCCAACCCCAACAAGGAAAGTGATCTGAGACAACCTCATGACAACCCATCCACCTTTTGCACTGTGCTGTTCCTTTCTTCCTGCTCAAGCTGCTTTTAAAAAACCAAATTCTCTGCCGCGCCCACTGGAGCTCCTCTGTTTTGCAGACTGAATGCTGCCCAGTTCATGAACCAACAATAA